TGAGCCTAGGGCCGGCAGATTGCGACGGAGGATATGAAAGATCCCCAGTAGAGGTCTCATCGTAGTACGGAAAAACTTGAGTCTGTGATATAATAACTAAAGGAGCAAAACCGAATGCTGGAAAACTGTCGTGGAACTGAGGTAAGTTGGCTGTATATATATACACATATTGTGCTTGTTAAGGTGATTAGCTGACGAGCTCCACCTGGGCCAGACTGATTGATTATCTGATCGTGCTCCTCCCGAACCTTGTTAATAAAACATCATATAGTGAGTGAGTGATGTGACGTGTAGCCATACTCGGAATTTGTGATCTGCATCCAAGTGCACACACACACACACACACACACCGTGAACACACACCCAGACCAGTGGGCAGCTATTTTTAGCTGCGGCACCCGGGGAGCAGTTTGAGGTTCAGTGCCTTGCTCAATGGTCTCACCTCAGTCGTGGTATTGAGAGTGGAAGAGAGCACTGGTCATTCACTCCCCCCACCGACAATCCCTGCCGGTACTGAGACTCGAAAAATTGATTTATGTGTATTTATTTGGGATAAAATATTTCCTCATTGTAATATTGTAAAATATTGTAGAGATGCAACACTGGGGTTAGTGACAATGAATAATTTTTAGTACAAGGATTGGGGGTAATATTTTATGAATTGGGCATTGAACATATTTGTTAACCACTGATATAAGTAATACTTGTGGAGACGAGCCCCCTGTAGTGGATTAATAATTAATTAATAATTAATAAATGTATTTATTTATTTATTTATAACCCTAATGCTATATCCCTGCAACATTTATTTCCATTTAAAATAATAATAATAATAATAATAAATAAAAAAACTCTTTAAAATGTCTTTCTGCTTACCATGTTACATTAAAAATGTAAGTTTGAACGTTGAATTGCCTAATTAAATAACTAGAAAATGTCACTGCATCACTGTATTGATACTCCATATGACATTATTCACAATCTTTATTTTTGTCATTTCTGCCAAAAAAAATTGAATAAAATAAAATTCATTTCATTAGAATAAAAATTCAATTAAATTGTAATTCATAAAAAAATGTAATTGTTTGTAATTTTTGTCCCATAACCCAAATAACATTAAAGGGGTTATATGACGTTGCTATGACCCCTTTAAGAGCTTGACAAGGTCAATGTAAGTGTACACATGAAATAGCAACATATAATACATACTGATAAAGATAACTTTTACTGTGTAGTTTAAGACACTTTAATAATTTCACTTCTTCAAATATGTTATCAGAAAAATCAAAATCATGAAAAGTATATTAATACTTTGGAAAACCTCACCTATGCCTAAAAGTGGCCAACCCACAGTTGTACAGTAAGTGAGTGTTATTTTGAAATGTTTCTATCAATACATTTCCTTGTAGGCGCAATGCCATTCTGATAGTGAATGCCTTATCCATGGTGGGTGCCTCTCTCATGTTCATGAGCAAAGTCACAGCGTCATTTGAAGTGCTTATTGTGGGTCGGCTGATCTTTGGCTTGTTCTGCGGCCTGGTGATGAGCCTGAACCCGCTGTACATCCAAGGTGTCTCACCTACAAACCTCCGCGGTGCCTTTGCAACTCTGAACCAGGTCTCCTTCGCCTCAGGCATTCTGCTGGGCATGGTGAGACACACCTGCTTCCATTTCATTTCCAGCTTTGTCCTTAATAGTTACATAAATCGTAAATAACTGAGGCCTGGATCTCATCAATGCAAGCCTGATGGTTTGTTGTGTGTATATCTCAGGTGGTGGGCTTGGAAACGGTGTTGGGCATGGAGAAATACTGGTCCCTGATACTGGTCCAACGCTCCAGTATATGAGCCTTCCTTTTTGCCCTGAAAGCCCACGTTACCTCTTCATCAACAGGGGCAAAGAAAAAGAAGCAGAGGCGGGTGAGTTAATCTCAGTTCTATTGGGATAGAAAGCTGACTTATGACTCACTTAAAACACAAGTAAACTTGTAAAAGCTAGTGTGACGCGAAGTTCGATCCAGCATCTTTCTTTTCATTATCAGCCCTGAGAAGACTTCGGGGAAATCCAGAGATGGTGATGAAAGAAATGGAGGAGATGAGAGAGGAAGCAGCCCACAGTGAAACAGGAGTGACTGTGAGAGAATTCCTCAGGAAGAGACGCTACAGGCAGCCGATAATACTTGTGCTTATCATAAACTTGGGCAGCCAGTTATCTGGATTCAATGCGGTTGGTGTTTCAACTGAAAAATCTTTCCGTATTTTCATGAGTATGATGGTAGTGACAATTCAATAGATGGGGGAAGTGTTGGGGAAAGTTACTTTTTAAAGTAATCCAATATTACGTTATTCCATAAAAAAGTAACTAATTACGTTACTTAGTAACTCTTTATGAAAAGTAATGCATTACATTAATATTTTGTTTTCAAGTCGTTGAAAGTCATTCATAGTCATTCTGCATTCAAGTCATTCAAGTCAAGTTATCTTTATTTCTAGTGCTTCATAGAATACAGAAGCAGCTTTGTACTAATAAAGAGGAAAATAACAGAATCAATGATGAAAATTTTGTCAAATATGGGACAAATTAACATTCAGTAGTGTCATTATTGCGCTAAAATCTGTTCAGTGTTCAGTTCAATTAAATAAGCATAAAGTGCATCAGTTCTGAAACAATTTCAATTCAGCTATAAGCAGCTCTACAGAAGTCTATTGTTTTATTATTTAGCTCAAATGTTGATTTCAATAACATTGCAATATTGCAAAATTCATAAATTATGAAACAAATTCAACTTAGCTCAACATAATGTTGCATCGCGCCGCATAAACATAAAACCATGTCTGCATTTGTGATCGGAGAAATGACAAACAACAAGCGCTACTCTACACTGCTTAAAACTCGCGTTTGAATCATCAGTGGCAAATTTAATTATGAAAACGTACTTACAGGCTGTGAGTCAGAACAGCCGGCATTCTCCCAGGATCAGGAAACAATCCTCCATAAAATGCGCCGTACACATCTGAATATTTGGGTTGAACTGTTCTGGAACAGTGTTGTAAATACAACTTAACCACTGATTTCTAGTCGTGTCCTCTTTTGGAAGGCCAAACAAAGTAGTTTCGCTTTCGCAACGAAACAAAGCGTCTTCACGACATGGCGGCAGCGGCGGCAGCAACAAGTTACGGCTTATTTCTTTGCGTGGGCTGATCTTTGGCTTGTTCTGCGGCCTGGTGATGAGCCTGAACCCACTGTACATCCAAGGTGTCTCGCCCACAAACCTCCGTGAATATGACCCCTTTAAGAGCTTGACAAGGTCAATGTAAGTGTACACATGAAATAGCAACATATAATACATACTGATAAAGAGAACTTTTACTGTGTAGTTTAAGACACTTTAATAATTTCACTTCTTCAAATATGTTATCAGAAAAATCAAACATGAAAAGTATATTAATACTTTGGAAAACCTCACCTATGCCTAAAAGTGGCCAACCCACAGTTGTACAGTAAGTGAGTGTTATTTTGAAATGTTTCTATCAATACATTTCCTTGTAGGCGCAATGCCATTCTGATAGTGAATGCCTTATCCATGGTGGGTGCCTCTCTCATGTTCATGAGCAAAGTCACAGCGTCATTTGAAGTGCTTATTGTGGGTCGGCTGATCTTTGGCTTGTTCTGCGGCCTGGTGATGAGCCTGAACCCACTGTACATCCAAGGTGTCTCGCCCACAAACCTCCGTGATGCCTTTGCAACTCTGAACCAGGTCTCCTTCGCCTCAGGCATTCTGCTGGGCATGGTGAGACACACCTGCTTCCATTTCATTTCCAGCTTTGTCCTTAATAGTTACATAAATCGTAAATAACTGAGGCCTGGATCTCATCAATGCAAGCCTGATGGTTTGTTGTGTGTATATCTCAGGTGGTGGGCTTGGAAACGGTGTTGGGCATGGAGAAATACTGGTCCCTGATACTGGTCCAACGCTCCAGTATATGAGCCTTCCTTTTTGCCCTGAAAGCCCACGTTACCTCTTCATCAACAGGGGCAAAGAAAAAGAAGCAGAGGCGGGTGAGTTAATCTCAGTTCTATTGGGATAGAAAGCTGACTTATGACTCACTTAAAACACAAGTAAACTTGTAAAAGCTAGTGTGACGCGAAGTTCGATCCAGCATCTTTCTTTTCATTATCAGCCCTGAGAAGACTTCGGGGAAATCCAGAGATGGTGATGAAAGAAATGATAGATGAGAGAGGAAGCAGCCCATAGTGAAAGAGGAGTGACTGTGAGAGAATTCCTCAGGAAGCGACGCTATAGGCAGCCGATAATACTTGTACTTATCATAAACCTGGGCAGCCAGTTATCTGGATTCAATGCGGTTGGTGTTCCAAATGAAAAATCTTTCCTTTGCCTGAATGTCCATAATTGCAATAGTTGATCTAAACATGATGGTATTTCAGAACACAACTTGTTTTTCTAGGCTACAGTATATAGAGATATCCATCATGAAGGCCTCTTTCCATATTTCCATGAGTATGATGGTAATGACAATTCAATAGATAGAGCTGAAAATCAGTTTATTCAAGCAGTGTTTGGGAAAGTTACTTTTCAAAGTAATGCATTACAATATTGTGTTACTCTTTAAAAAAGTAACTAATTGTGTTACTTAGTTACTCTTTGTGGTAAGTAATGCATTACATTACTTTGGTGTTACTTTTCGTCACCTGGGCTGGGCTTGCTTATTTGTTTTGTTGTTGTTGTTGTTTTTGTTTAAAAAAAACATTATTTTGTTTAAATTTAAAAGTTTTGCTTTATTTCAATGGTTACTTGAAAAAAAAGTAATATGATTACATAACTTGCGTTACTTGTAATGCATTACCGCCAACACTGCATTCAAGTCCTATTTATTTCTACAATGCTTCATACAATATGGATAGTTTCAAAGCAGCTTCACAGTAATAAAGAGGAAAATAACAGAATCAATTATGCAAATTTAGTCAAATATGAGACAAATTAACATTCTGCTGTAAAACAGATCTAAAAAGACAATAGTGTCATTATTGAGCACAAATCAGTTCAGTTGGTTCGGTTTAGTTAAATAATTATATAAAGTGCATCAGTTATGAAACAATTTCAATTCAGACTATTGTTTTATTGTTTAGCTGGAATGTTGGTTCAATTCAGTTCAGTAACTTTGCAAGGTTGCAAAATTCATCAATTATGAAACAAATTCGACTTAGCTCAACAGAAGACAATAGTGGCATCATCCAGTTCTATTCAGCTCAAGGTTTGTTCTCACTTGATGGTGTCAAATCGTTAGTATAATATCTGTCTTTTAAAACCCAACTAATCAGGCCTAAGGTGATGGTGACAAGGAAGCCAAACTCCATCAGATGACACAAATGGAGAAAAACCTTGAAGGAAACCAGGCTCAGTCGGGGGGCATTTCTCATCTGGCCTAAATGAACAAACACTTGTATTTAACTTAGTTATAATTAAATGTAATACTTGTCAATAATCAGTGATGTTTTTGGTATGACTTACACACTACTTTTGTATATGATTTAGTTGACACCTTTTGAGTAATAGCAAGGGGGAAAAAATCAAGAATCTCATCTCAAATTCTAACAAGATGCTTTCTGTCTAATGATATATGAATACAACACTGCCTGATTAATATTCACAATTTTTCATACCACTACAGGTTTCTGAAGATAAGTGTAAGGATTCTCCCAGGGGTTTGCAAGTACAGCAAGACTGCTCAGAATAGCGCTTTACCATGTCTTTTATTTTTCTTCCAGATCATAAATTATTCTACAAAAATGTTTGCCCAGTCCAATTTTGATGAAGCCAAATATCTGACACTAGGGGTGGGGGCTGTTAATGTGGCATTCACCATAGTAGCAGTGAGTATTCATTATATGATGTTCATTTTCAGTTTAGTCAGTGTTATTGGTGATTGTAATCTGTTCAAATGATTCTCATTATTTTCACTATTATAGTTCAATTTCAGTAATTGTAGGATCTCACTGTGCACTAAGATTTATTTATTTATTTATTTTACTGGCCTATACAGTGATTCACTAGTCTACAGTGGTTGTACTTGTATTCACTAGTCTACTTATTTTTTTTTCTTGTTTTTTTTTCAGCTAAAATGAATGAATGAATGAATGAATGAATGAAAATGAATGAATTAATTAAATTAATGAAATGTGGTCAACATGGTGACCACCAAGAGTGGGCAACCCACTTTATGTAGAATAAAACTATTTATAGGCCTCTGATATGGCTGTAGTTTTAATCTACATCAAAATAGATATTTGGTTCTCTTTTTATTGAGGCACTTTTTACAAGACTTATAATTGAATTAAAAATAGAATAATTTCTTGGACATTCTCTCTCTCTCTCTCTCTCTCTCTCTTTCAAAGTTCTTTTTGGTGGAGAGAGCGGGACGCAGGAAACTGTTGCTTGCTGGATTTCTGTCATTAGCACTCTGAAACTTATTTATGACCATCACATATTCCATACTGGTGAGATTAAGTATCCTTCTTGTTTTTCAAAATCCAGAAATGAGACCAAAATTTGTGACTTTTACTCTTCTCTACATCTCCTCTCTTCTCTCTTTTCAGGACATAGCTCCGAACATCTGTAATATTCAGGTGCTGGGGTTTTTTTTTTCCTGATCTCAGCTTATGAAGTGGGGCCTGGGCTAATCTCTTGGTTCATTGCTGCTGAGCTTTTTGACCTGTCGGCCCGTCCCATTGCTATGGCCTTCACTAGTATGCTTAACTGGGGAGGGAAGATTTTACTAGCACTGCTCTTTCCACCTCTTCTGGTATGTGCATCTCTTGTGTACAGCACATGAAGATCAACACAATATCTATATTGAACTTTTATTCTGTAATAGTTTACTGAAGCCTAAGCTTTAATGCATCAACTTCTTGTGTGCAGAAAATGTGCGGGGCCTACGTCTACCTCCTCTTCATGTGTATGGCCTTGCTTGCCTTCACCTACACCATGTTTCGTCTTCCTGAGACCAAAGGACCCACTTTTGATGACATTGCGGCTGAGTTCCACAGGGCTGAGGGCATTCCACTACATAACAAGACCACATTTAACACATTTACCTGATCTCTCTCAGCTTTAGGGTTAACAAGACCATTAAAACAGTGATCAACTCAAATGCAGCTGGTACGTTTACACAACTAGTAATGAAGTATATTAAGGTCCCTGCATAGAATAACTCATAAAAATGTTAACATTTATTAACATTTATTCATTTATTCTGAAAAAAGGACAACCTTATAGACATTCAACATAACCTTTGCAAGTTTTTATCACACTGTGAAATCTCACAACTCTCTGGTTTGTATACTCTTGCCAGACATCTACAGTAGAAGCTGCAAGCCAAACCATATACCAAACAATCTGACTGACGACATTGACAGGTATATTAACAGCAAAACTACTTTATAGTTATTTGTAAGGAAAACCATGTAACCTGTTGTCACTGTATAATTAGTCCCGGAGACATTTGCAATATGCTTAATTTGACCTTAATTTGTTTCTCATTTAAATGTTGATAGAATATGTGAATACGATTGTAAACATGGAATAAAAGATTTAGCATTTCAGCATTTTGTTCCAAAGTGCTACACATTGCTGTAATTTGCCTCTCTCATTGTTTTCCTTTTACTTTTTTTCTTTCTTTCTTTCTTTTTTAACAAAATTGGAAACATCCAGAGTCCCTACAAACTGAGAAGGTGAATTTCATAACAGCCTTTTATATTATAGAATATTGAGGACATGACATTGTGGACACCTTGTGAACTCCCAGGAAAAGCTTGGAATTGTTTTCTTGTTTCATGTTGTCTATAACAAGGTAGTTACAAGATTACAAGAACAGAGAGAGTTTCTCGTTAGCGGAACCCATTAAAAACAAATATTAGAACAAACACACTCTTCACAGTGGAAAAATGAAATAATGAATGAATGAATGAATGAATGAATGAATGAATGAATGAATGAATGAATGAATGAATGAATGAAAATGAATGAATTAATTAAATTAATGAAATGTGGTCAACATGGTGACCACCAAGAGTGGGCAACCCACTTTATGTAGAATAAAACTATTTATAGGCCTCTGATATGGCTGTAGTTTTAATCTACATCAAAATAGATATTTGGTTCTCTTTTTATTGAGGCACTTTTTACAAGACTTATAATTGAATTAAAAATAGAATAATTTCTTGGACATTCTCTCTCTCTCTCTCTCTCTCTCTCTTTCAAAGTTCTTTTTGGTGGAGAGAGCGGGACGCAGGAAACTGTTGCTTGCTGGATTTCTGTCATTAGCACTCTGAAACTTATTTATGACCATCACATATTCCATACTGGTGAGATTAAGTATCCTTCTTGTTTTTCAAAATCCAGAAATGAGACCAAAATTTGTGACTTTTACTCTTCTCTACATCTCCTCTCTTCTCTCTTTTCAGGACATAGCTCCGAACATCTGTAATATTCAGGTGCTGGGGTTTTTTTTTTCCTGATCTCAGCTTATGAAGTGGGGCCTGGGCTAATCTCTTGGTTCATTGCTGCTGAGCTTTTTGACCTGTCGGCCCGTCCCATTGCTATGGCCTTCACTAGTATGCTTAACTGGGGAGGGAAGATTTTACTAGCACTGCTCTTTCCACCTCTTCTGGTATGTGCATCTCTTGTGTACAGCACATGAAGATCAACACAATATCTATATTGAACTTTTATTCTGTAATAGTTTACTGAAGCCTAAGCTTTAATGCATCAACTTCTTGTGTGCAGAAAATGTGCGGGGCCTACGTCTACCTCCTCTTCATGTGTATGGCCTTGCTTGCCTTCACCTACACCATGTTTCGTCTTCCTGAGACCAAAGGACCCACTTTTGATGACATTGCGGCTGAGTTCCACAGGGCTGAGGGCATTCCACTACATAACAAGACCACATTTAACACATTTACCTGATCTC